TTGTATGCAAATCCTCTCTCATTTATTCTTGCTCCCTTCAGAAAGGACAAATTTAGTATAATAACTGTAATTGCTTTAATAACATGAAGAAAACGACACCTTTATGGGACCAACAATCAAAGACTGAAACTGTAATACAGCATGACAGGTGTGGAGGCCTGCCACCAGCACTCATTTTCCCATTTCAGTGTTTCTTTCATCGCCTTGAAAAGTGCTTGTCTCAGTAAGCCAGACATGGCTGGCTTGTGGCTCTAAACTCCACACCATTCCTGACAAGTCAAGTGGGCCACTGGCAAGCAGCGGGCTCTGCTGGAACAGTGACTACTAGTCCCTTCTCTGGCAGAAGATGTGAGTTGGCATGACTTGGTCAGATAGAGCTGCTATCAAGGCCTCCTCAAACTGGCATCTCACCTCAGCTCTGTGGCAAACATATTAAGTATCTTATGGTCTACAGGTTATAGGTTCAGGCAGATGGCCACCTTTGCTTCCCATCAGAGAGATGGAAGGTCTCAGTGCCATTCAGAATGGTGGCTCATGACTCACTGGGCTAAGCTTCCTGCTGAATCAGACACCATGTATTTTTGGCAACTTTTTCTGCTTTAATTCTGACATTAGCAAATGAGAACCAATATTCAGCATCAGTCAGCTCGAATAGGATACACTTGATCTTGGCTTTTAGATATACTCAAACCACTGACTAACAATTACATTTTCTAGTTAGTATTTGCAACATAACCTGTAATTTTGATAATAAAAAAGAGTCTCAGAACTATTTCTCCTGCAATAGTCCCTGTTTTGCTAAAAGAAAATGCATCATCCAACATTAGTTATTGCATGAGCCAGAGTTCCCATCCAAAATAAGCAGATATTGAAACAAAAAAGATGGTGAGAAAATGGTCCTTGATGGAGAAAGAACACAATATTGTGTCTCATCTGGAGACAAATGAGAACAAACTGATCCTTGAGTGCCAGGAGAATTCCAGACTTGCCTCAACAACCACTCCTAGGGCACACTTGTCTGACACAAGATGTGCAAACAGGTGTGAACATCAAGGGTTTTTTTAAATGTTATATGCAGAAAGAAATTGAAAAGATCAAATCACTAACTGGAAACATTGACTAGTAGTGAACACCTCCTCAGGCCTTAATCAGGTTAGATGTGAAATGATTCTCACAGACAAAGTGCTTGAGAACATGCTAATTGGCAGTATCCAGGTAGTTTAAAATATCAAAATTGAAAGAAAGAGTTTCTATTTAATTTGTTTTGAACCAAACTTAAAAGCAAAACTGCCTCTCACAAGCAGACAGCACGAGACTCACCATCCCTCAGCAGTTTTATGAAAGATTTCTCCTCAGCACTGAGAATGTCAAAAACAAGATATTTCTTCTCTACGAACACTGTATGCATTTTCATTAATGTTTATGTCACTGAAGCATCTACATATGAAACCAACATGTAATATTTCACCTTGATATTAAAATTCTTCAGAGATTAAAAGTGAGCGTTAAAAATAGGCAAGATATCTATTTAGCCCACAATAGGAGAGTGCTGTATTACTGGCACCTCTCAGTGGAGGCAGGCCTGAACCAAAATCTCAGGTCTGCACATCATATCAAGAAAAGAAAACAAATAAACAAAAAGCTGAAGTTATATCTCAGAGTGTTACCAGGAATGCTCCTGGTTCTGTTAAACACTTTGATGCATGGGTGTTTGGTACTCTTCGTGCTACAGAAAAAAACAAACAAACAAAAAAAACCCCAAAAACCAAAACAAAATACAAAAAACCTCCCAAAAAACCCAAAGCAAAAAAACCCCTTCTTTAATCTGAGATTGAGCACCAAAGTCAGCAACATGAATGAAATGAGAGAACCCCAAAGAACAAAATCTCAGCAACATACTACTATCTCTGGGTAAACCTTTGTTTGCAATATCTTTTTAAAATAATACTGTCAACTTCAGTGATTGACGATTTCACCCCATTTATCAGTGACAACTAGAATTATTTTTTCAGCTGTGGATCATGTTAATTGTGGAAGCTAATAGGAAGGAATGTGAGGTAAATTGTCTTAATACCTTTAGTATATGTGATGACTTTACCAGACTTGCAGTACTGTATTTACTGTAACCAAAAGGTCATGCTCTATATCTTAAAGGCAAAAGTGAATTTTTCTGCAACAGTCACACTCCTGCAAATCATGTAAAAAATATTTTTAGACAAGGCAATTAGCATTTTTTTAAATCAACCTTAGTTTCAAATACTTGAAGGAAGTCTTTCAGTTTTAACTGACACACATGTGTAAACCAGAGTGGATTGGCAAACAAAGCAATTTAGTAAAAATGGACTAAGGCTATCATAACCCATATGAATTCTAATGAGTGCTAATTTTTTCTCTGCAGCAAGATAAATATTGGGGCAATTATGAGTTGCATTTTTCATTCCACTGTTAAATAAAAAAAACAATTTCCCAGATACTGCAGGTAATCAGTGCTAATTTTAAATGGTGCAATCCCATTCATATTTTGAATCTCTAGGTCTTACATACTTGGGAATGCTATAATAAAATAATTCTGACAGATTTGCAAATAGATATTTGTTTTCATAAGCATTAAAACAGACAATCTTGACATTGGCAGAAACAGGGTCTTTGAAAGATACAATAATATTGCAATTTCGGTGTTTATGCATCTCTGAGGAATTGCTAAGATACGTCCTTTCAAATAAATAAGGTGACACAGGACAAACAATGCTATTTGAGCATTTCTAACAGAACACAGAACAGATTCATTTCCATAGAAGAAATTTTTGGAGTGTTAACCTTAATGCATAGCAGGCATTATTGCTTTAATGGGACTGTGTCAAATTGACAGGCCCAAAATGTAACCTACTGTAAAATCAAACTTTTTACAAAATGTTCTTTTGATCCTGAAAAATCTATCAACCTTCCAAATTCAAGACTGCCACATTGTTAAAACACCAAATACTTTGCTGTGTTATTGGCCATTAAACTTGTTTTGGTTTTGCAACATTCATATGCAAGTCTTGATTTCCTCTCTCCTGCACACCATTTTTGGGACTATGCATTTAAAAAGTACCAGACTTTTTGTTTGGGATTTCCATTATTTAGCATTTCAGTTAGCAGTGATTTATAACAAAGTTACAGTATAAGGCTCCCGTACTCCAGTGCTCAATGTCTCCTTAGAAAGAGGGCAGCTCTTGATACATGGAAGTTGCCAAACCACAAATGGATTTTTATCTTCTTTTACTTATTACATGCAAATACTTTCCAGTGCACACTGAAATGCAATAAATTATAGTTACATGGCATCATAATAAAACAACAGCATTTTACTATTGTGAGGTGGCAGGTAAAAAAAAGACGCTGTGATGGTTGGTTTTATTTGTTGTCAGTTTTAGGTACAATTCATGCCTCTTCTTAGTATGTGGGCAGGTTCTCAAATACATGTATAGTTTTTTCATGTGTGAGAAATTTTTCTGTGCTTAGAAATTAACTATACAATAGTTTTTCATTACAAATATGGTCTTCACCAAAACCAGGCTGGAGAAGAGGAGACCGAGGGGAGACCTCATCACAGCTTCCTCAGGAGGGGAAGTGGAGGGATAGGGGCCAATCTCTTCTCTCTGGTGACCAGTGAGAGGACCTGTGGAAATGGCTTGAAACTGTGTCAGGGGAGGTTTAGAACCTAGTAAAACGTTCTCCACCCAGAGGGTGGTTGGGCACTGGAACAGGCTCCCCAGGGAAGTGGTCACAGCACCAAGCTTGGCAGAGTTCAAGAAGCGTTTGGACAATGCTCTCAGGCACATAGTGTGACTCTCGTGCTGTTCTGTACAGGGCCAGGACTTTAATTATTCTTGTGAGTCCCTCCCAGCTCAGGATATTCTGTGATTCTGTGATTCAGGTTATTTTCAGGCAATGAGTGCCTCTTCTCCCATAATCATCCCAAACCAGCACAGGACCTTTTGCTAAATACTTCAGTTGGATTTACTGTAAACCTGACAACCAGATGATTAGAATACTTTTGTTCTCTCCCAGTTTACTGTCACAGGTAACTGGAGCTACATAATCTACTGTTAGAACCAACACTGACATTTGAATGTCTGCCTTTCCTAGAGATATTCAGTGATTAAAAAACTGAGGCATATTTAAGACATAAAATAAGTGCTGAACATGCTTGATGCACAAACATACCCTCTATAAACAAGGTTGCCCTGAACATATCCCATCAAAACCCACCGGAATACCACATATTACATTTTCCTATGAAATCTGGTGAATGAACAATCAATATACACAGCATACTTTGGCTTCTCCAAATGTATCTGTGATGAAAGCTACAACACATTATAAGCAGGTAGCATTAAGTATGAATATCCCAGAACTATTTAAATTAGATCTGATCTTCAGTCCAACTCACACAATGAAATTAGTCAGTTCACTCATGAGGGCTGAGGACTGAGAAAGGTAATGATCTTTTTGTTTCTTCGCCTAACAGAATTCAGTAACAGCCCTACTTGATTTCAGGGGTCCTTTTCAACTGCAGATACTGAAAACAGTTTGGGTTTTCTTCATGGGATATGGGACTCTCTCTTATCCTTGTGTTAACCTGGGCTCTGGATGACTAACCCTATAGCTGACACAAACAGATGTTTTTATTTGTTTAAACTATTAGGTCAAAGGGCTAATGAGCTAATGAAAATTCTTTCAAGAGCTCTCAAATAAGGCATGATTAGCTGGTTTTCAATTCCGATTTCTATGAAACAAAAGAATTAAAAAACAATTATCAGTTTAAAAATCTTTCATTTCATTCCTAGTCTTGGTTAAAAGGCAGGATTAAAAATAGAAAAATGGAAAAAGCATACCTTAGTAGCTGAATCAGCAACTCCAGTCTGGCTCAGCAGTGCTATATTTCCATCAGCTGTTACAACTTGCATTGTAAGAGCATCTTCTATTCAAATAGTGTTCAATAGGATAACACTGAGCTGTTTCAACAATCTTTTATTTTCCCCAGAGTATATTCCTTTGCTCAACTTCTGTAGCTTTTGTTTTGTATATGTACTTTGCCATGTCATTTATTTAAAAATAATTTCTAATCATATAAACATGTCTTTCAATTTAATATTATGGAAGAATTGTATAAAGATTATTCCAATCACTGATCAGCAATAAATCTGCAAAACCATTTACATATATTTCCAGAGTAATGACAACTTGCTGTCAAAAAAATCAGTCAATTTTTGAAAGTTTCTATTTCGTATGTATGTGTGTGTAAATGTGTAACTACGTATGATGTAGCAATGATTTATACAGGAATATTTTTTTACACTTATGGGTAAATAATTAATCTTGAACATTCCAAATCAAGGTAATATGCCATACTCCCAAGTTGGCTACTTTCTCAAGAAATCAAAACTTATCAACTCAATTCTACACAGCATTTATTTTCTTTTTTTTTTCTTTCTTTCTTTTTTTTTTTTTTGATAGTGGAAATTATGTATAAATCATAAACAGTACAGGTTCCCCACGTCAGCAGTTGACCATTTAATTGGGTCAACTTCATGTATAGACACTGTATTTTTAGTATAAAGTTAAGATAATATGGCAGTTAACTCATATTTTTTGACTACAGAAAAGATACAAACTTTTGTAATATAAATTAATTGCCATTACAAAAAGGCAACTGTATTAAGTAATACGGTACAAAAATCTGCAACTTCTATAAATATAATGAAATGCAAGAAGTTAAATGAAATAATACATCACAGATTTTTGTATAGCGTATTTGAATAGGCAAGCTAAGATACACATGGAGCATTATACAGCAAGAAAGAATATCAAAACCCACTAAGATTTAACTTTTTATCCATACAAATGCTAGAAGTACAATTACAGGACACGACATGGAAGCAGTAAGATTACCAGCTCAGAGTGGGCAGACAAAGAAGTCTTACTGATGAGCTGTAAAGCATTAGGCAGCAGACAGAAGGTTGTCAAAACCAGCTGTTGTTGGATATTGATTGATAATGTTTTCACTCTGACGGCTGAGACACTGCAGACAGCCACAGGTCTGAGAAGCCCAGTGTGGGCACACACACATACACACACGAAGTAATTTAACAGATGGCTAAAGAACATTAAAGCACATCTTTTTAAAAAAGAAAATGTTCACTCCTTAATGAACTTGCAAGTAAAGTAGAGCCTAGTGCCCAAGTTTATTCCACCTAAATGATGAACACATTTGAAAAGATTAAAAAAAACCAAACCAAAACAAACCAACAAAAACTGAAGCAATTGAGATTGGTTAGCAGAATGCAAACTGCATAGTGCTTACATATTCTACCAAGCCAGAGCATTCAACAACACTATAGACAAGGAATTATGACATGAGCTGCTACTGAATGTTTTTATCCCCTCACAAAAAGGTGAAGTTGCTTATAGACATTAAAAAGGTACACATCCATTAAGTCTATCTACAACACAAAACCACAGAAGTACTACATTCAAAGTAAAGTTAAGTGTTGGTTTTAGCCTTCAGCAGTTATGAGGTATTGTTTCAATCTGTGGTGAGGAATGATCACTGTATTAATAAGAAAAAGCATACTCAAAATAATTCGGTAAATCAAAATCACTGCTTCTGTGCAGTTGACATTTGCCTTAAGGTCCTAGTCTGAGTGGCCACTGGCATATGCCAAAACCATATTCTCATCAATGTATTGGGCCTTTTTCATGTTAGTCATGTAGCACCTTCTAACAGTGCATATCTGGGAGATCATGACCAAAATGTAACTTGGAAACATTAAAGTTTTTGGACCAGACCGATGGTTTTTCTACTGATGGCAGAAATAAGTAAAATTTCAAGAATGCAATATGGTTGGGCTTATTTTCATTTCCTGTAACTTTTGGTCCATAACTAAGGGAAAGAAGGGGAAAAACAGTAAAAAAATGTTATTTCACATCTTCTAACTAATGGCCAATGAAAAAGCAGTAAAAGCTCTGAATCCCCCATTTTGCCTGCCTTCTCTGGCAAGTAATTTTCCCACCTCCTCCTTACCACTTACTTGTCGTTGTCTCTAAACAGGACAGAAATTTGGGGACCTTGTGGAAATCTGAGGACTCTGTAGCCTCTAATCTCACGTAAGCTAAGAGAGAGTCTGAAAGTGTAAATTAGATCCAATTCCTTCTTAAATCCAGAGAAAGGAACCTCCTTAACCCACACAAGAGAAACTGATGGGCAGATGGGTCCCGACTAATGTGCAGAGAGAACTGAACCAAAGCAGGGCTACTCTGTGCTTCAAAAGGAACAATTCCAGTTCTTGGTTATTTCCAAGAGTACTAGGAGTGAGACGATTGACCTGGTAGGAAAGAGAATAAAAAAACAAAGCAAGGAGATGCCCTTCAGGCTTTCTGCCTATTCTATCTCAAAATGAAACAAGGAGTTTACCAGTTTTCCCAGCTTCTTTCTGATAACAGGAACCAAGTTAAAACAGTGGGAGCAATGCAGGAAATCCAAGGAAATTGAAAAGTAAACAAAAATACCTATTAAAAACATTTGTTTAACAAAGAGTATAATTGCAAGTAATAGAGAAATGGCTTTTATCAGCCTTTAAAAGCTGATCTTTGCTATTTTCTTATCCCCAAATAAACTAATGAGAAACTACAATAAACATTAAACAAAATATAAATGCTCAGAGTGGAAAGATATGCTGCTTAAAGCCTTGAAAAATGGCATTATAAGTTTCAGAACACAAGCAGAATCAATGAGAAACTAATGACACATCACATCAGTTTGTATTTGCAGACACTCAAGGGTAGCTGAATGTGCAAGGCACAGCATTCAAGGTGTGCACCAGTCCAGCAACTGATCTGCACATCCCCTGTTGTCACTGACTCAGTGACAAGTGGCCCGGCACATTTCTTTAATGAACAAAATTGGGTTATAAAGTTTTAAAAAAATCAACAAAAGGCAGCCAAAATACTGCAAATCTGGGGAAAACATGGAAATAGAAAATGTGGACTGTGTTACTTGAATCAAAGGGGCTTTTTCTAAATGTATTACAAATGTTGTTTTCCAATGAATACTTTTTTGTCTTCTAAGTAACACTTAGCCCAGAGTAAGCTTGAAAGAACAAGACATAATCCCCTTGAAAAGAGAAGTACAAACACTGGAAGACCCTTAATTATGGTATAGATGCCTTGGCAATGTTACAGTAGTAGTCTACAAATGAGTGATAAAGGAAGCAGTCCTTATTTCAAATCACTCATACTTCTAACTAGTAATAAAGCCTCCACAGATGAACTAACAGACATTTACCTTGCTTTTTTTATGGAAAACTACTTTCAATTAGTTTATTCCTTTATCCAACCTTTGCATATTTCTAAGAAAATCATTTTACTTAGATCACCTGTTTAATGTCACCTACTTTCCCCAAATATTGTTATCTGTGCACATCTGTTTGTTAATTCACTTTTCATCAAACTTCCAGCAAAATAACTGTTCTGCCTTTGGCAAGGTCATGGAGTGATTTTAAAAGAGGACTCAACTAATTTGTCAACTGTGTTTTCACTTAGTAAAACCTCAGGAATAACCTTTGCATTAACATGAAACTGCTTGCCTTTTAGGTATCCTAGGTTCTCAGTGGCTGTGCTTTCCATACTGTGAGGTCAGTAAACAAGCTAATACAAATTAGACCCACAAATCATTTAGATATTAGTTTTTTTTTAAAATCCAAGGTAACACATAGAATTCCTCCTTTACAGACTACGTTATTTTTGTGCGCGCAAAATTCCCTATCAAGGATGATCGCAAAGCAAGAAAGCAACATGCAGTGTGCAGAAATAGTGGTAAACAAAGAGGAACTTCCTACTTCAGTAGCATAGACAACTCTACTAGAAATAGTTGTGTACCTGACTCACAGAACATTTATTTTAACAAAAGGACATTCTGCACTAACTCTGTATGAACAACATATCACAGATCAGTCTTGATACCACACCATAATTAAACTGTGTGCAGAATGAGCAAGTACAGTGATGTCTGGAGAACCACTCCTTTCTCTTGGATTTCACATTCTTGAAGGTTCGAAGTCTCTCTCTTCTAGCAAGTTTATTAGAAGGGAGAAGCTGTCTTTTACTGCCTCCATATCATCCAAGGAGCAGGGTTTAAGAATCCAACGCTTTCCACGTGCAAGCGGCTCAAGTTCAAAATATTTTTTTATCTATTGAGGAAAAAAAAGAGACCAGTGTATTAATATTATAATGAAAACTCTCTCAGATCTAAAAAAACAAACCGAAACATAAAAAAAAAAACAACCACAACATAAAAAGATGAGGATATTAATTTTTAGAATCTTACCCACATCTGCTCTTATAATACAGGTTATGTAACATGACCTGAAAGTGTTTTCTTTAGAGGTGAGTGAACTGCTTGGAAGCTACCATTCTACCCATGCATTTAACAGCATGGGAGGTCTGAGGAAGAATTGTAGTGATTTAAGGCAAAGAGCAAAGCACATGAAACATTTGCTCAAAACCATATCCAAACCAGCAAAAGTAACTAAGAAATTTTAGGTTATGTTTGTATTTTAATGTTAACTCTGAATGTTTCATTATACTCTTACTGGTAAACACTTAAGATGCAGAATTTGTCACAAGACTAACTTCACAAATCAGACTTCAAAAATGTACAAATTCTAAACATTCCAGCCAAATGTGAGCTATAGCACAGCATCTCTTAGTGACATAGAGAACCCTTCAAAAATAAAAATTCTTCCAAAATTGGTTAGTCTTTCTAAAATTAAACATAAAAGACTAGCACACTAATGTTAGTAGGATAGTAATAAATATATGTGAGACATGACGCAGTTTATTTGAAAGACCAATAACTAGTAACATTTGTTGCACCAATTGTCAAGGCAGAAACACAGACCCACAGGAAGACTGAGAAAGGAATGATTTTAGTTTAGTAATATATTCCAATCACTTTTCAAAATACCAAGTAAAATATCAAAACATATTTTTTAATTTTCTTAGGAGAAGACAGTAGTCTGCAGATTATACTAATCCACCATTTACTGTTTTCATCAAAATTTTAGTTTTTGAAAGTAAATAATCCAAAAGTACTCATGTTTGACTTGTCCACATAGACATTCAGTTTTTACATCGAAAACTATATCCATCAGAACTTACTACTGTCAATATATAAACAGAAGTATTTAGCTCTGACTTAGTCTGGACATTCTTGTTCATTGTAATTATTTGCCAAATACTCTTAATTTTCTTTTATCACAGACTGTGTCACAAATATGCAGCACAATAACAGGAGCAGTTACTCATAACATGGTAGGGAGTAGAGACCCTAGACAGGCAACTGGAGCCACACTGCGTAAGGCTGCATGTGCAGGAGGAATAAAAAAAAGAAAAGAAAGAAAGGCTTCCAAAGTCCATACAAGCTGCAACATCTCTATGTAGCTCTTACAGTGTCTACAGTTTTGTTTATTAATGTATTCTAATGGACAAAACCAACTGTAGTTGTATTAACTTACATAATTCAGAATTCAACCACAACCATGTGGCAGGAAGGCTTTCTTATTTTTTAGAAAGAAATTTTGACCATAGGGTTTAGTAACAAATGTCAGGAAAAAATGGGTTTTGAGATGGACCTTCTGCTTACCCAGCTGGATACAGGTGAAAAATTTTAGAATCTCTTTCCATCAAAGTACAATTATATCAATAACCTTTGAAAACGCAGTGTAGTAGTAGACATTCACTTCCCCTCAAATTTTAAGACATACATTTGAAAAGTTGAAAGAAACAGGACTTCAACAAACAGTATTTTAGTATCATCATACCTACTTTTTAGCATTGTCATTTCAGTGCCACATCAGTACCTGATATGTTGGCATGGTTATGCGCGATAAGAACCAAAATACTAATCTCTATAAGGGATGTATTGCTATGTTCCCTGCAGCTGAAGTGACACCAAATTGAATTTACTCAATGGCACTGATCACAGAACTTGAGAAGCAGGGTAAGAAAGCTCTCTAGCCTGTTTCAGCAATAGCCTCCTTGACTGTCACACAAGGGGAGGAAGTAAAAGCTGCACAGAAGGATAACAAAGCAAGGTATCAGTGCAGTTAGCGGGCAGAGCAGCCCACTGGTTTTAAACTGACAAATATGGCTGAGTAATTTGAGATGTTTCAGACCCACAGCCCAGAGGATGTCCACCACACCCCCTCTACTGGAAGACTATTGCCATCAGCCCCTTGAGTTCACTGAAGTCTGTCTGCAATCTTCTTTACACAGACTCTTGAATTAAGGCTACACCATATGAAGGATGATCATTACATTGTAAGGACAATACTTGGGTTTAAAATTAGAAACACATGCACACGGAATTGGTGGCCATAAGCAGACTAGCATTGAGTCTTGTGCCTTTGTGGGCAAACACAATACAGGTTACCAAGGTACCCTTTAGCCAAGAAAAATGACTACAGATGCCAACAGCAGCAATTTAGTGAAATAAATTTTGCAGATAAATTATTTATTTGGATGCCCAATGTTGATTAAAGTGTATTTTTTTCTATTACTAGCTGTGTAATTGAAATGTAACTAAATCAGTGATGTGCTGTCATCATTTTCCACATCTAAAGAACAGTTCAGAGTATCTGCATAATAGGTCCTAGATGAATGCCAAAATCAAAGTGTTTGTTAACCAGTGGTTTTTGAAATGGGACGTTTTGATACTGGCATAAAAACACAACTGCTTATATTCACATAAGTAACAGCTTCATACCTTCTACAGAGAAAAAAAGGATTTGCTAGATGACTCATGTCTAACACAAATCAAGAAAAATAACATTAATTGGCTTACAAATAATAAATAACTAAACCAGAAGTAGCACGGAAGTGATTTTCCACAACCCAAGGGACACTTTGTGGTATGTTGCCATATTTCCTCATTTAAACTTCACACCACAAGGGAGTTTGCTAAACCCTAGTGAGTTTTGCAAGTGAGCTCTATGAACTTTGAAACTTCCAGAAAGAAGTTTTCAGGAACAAATATTTTCCAATTTACTATAACTTCTCCCCCTCTCAACTCAGAAGAAGTGATTCACTTTTTAGAACAATTCTTTTTTTTAGACTTAACTAAAGAACCATTTTTTTACACGCAACAGATGAAACAACTACACGAAAACAGACTGGCACAGATGCCCAACACTTTTTATATAGCTGAGTTTTCCACTGGAATGCTCTCAGCTTTCCATCCATGTTTGTTTCTCTAGTTGCTTTCTGCCTTGATGACCATCATTCACACTCATTGCCTGCAGATTTCCTAAGAGGATGTACACTAATCACCAAAGTATCCAAAGGAAGCTGAAATTCTCTGAATACTCACTCATGTAGGTAGCTCTTGCATCATCAACAGTTACTATTTTACAGCTCCCTTCAGTCAAACTACTACAAAAGGGGTGAGTTCCTCAGAGAAGCTCTTCTGCCTTCCCCTCTGCATGAACAGTGAAAAGTTTTCTGCCTGTTCATGGATGCTGGAGCAAAGTACTTCAGAAGTCTGACACATTAGATGTGCATTTATATATTGGTTTTACATTTTCAAGAGTTTATTTTGAGAATGCTAAATTTTTAAGATATAATCTTGGAGGAAAACATAATCAATTAAATCTACATAATTTTAAGACTTCTTTACTACAATTTTACAGGATCTCACTGTATGTCTTGACTCCACATGGGGGCCTTGTTTTATAGAGAAGCTGACAATGTATTTACACCACATTCTGAAGTCAATAAAATCTAACAATACATGTTTGAAATTCCCAGTCTTCCAGTACTCCACCTTCTAAGTCCTATTCTTTTGGCATAATACATTAAACATATGGTTATCAAATGTTGCTTAACCTCCATGCTAGAAAAGTCAAGACACAATAAAAGGATTGGTGCCCAGAACCTCAGCTGGTGTAAATTATCATAGCAGCATGGAACTGATGTTACTAAACTGATGTACGTAAGCTGAGTAACCAGGCCCTGCTGAAACCTCTTCTATGTTCTATTACTGAAACTCATCATCTAGTCAGTTCATCACACATATGAACATAAGATCTATAGGAAAACTTAGATACTTTATTATATGAAAACCAAGTAATTTCTACAATTCAACATGAAAAAAAAAAGATGATTGAAAGTATTATTTTTCATTCAAATTCAAAATTTTACTACCAAATTTCATCAACACAAATCGGCTTCCAGCCCACTGGGACTAATCTGTTCCAAACAAATACAAAATTCAGATAGATACTTACATTACCAGGCTGGTAACTGGAGAACTTAATGGATAAAATATTTCTTCATTCATTGCTGTTTACTGAACAATTTAGTGGGGACAAAAAAGTGTAACAAAATGTATATCATATCCAGTCAAAGGCTTGGTCTCATCAGTGTCTCAACTACTCCGAATTTTTGAAAGACTTTTTCAGGACTAACCAAATATTACTGCAAGAGGGTGACTGGTGGGGAGTATGAATTCAACTAATATAATCTAACTTGCTGAATCCATGTATTAACTGCAAGAAGTGGTTCATTCATCTATCCCTAATCTGCATGGACAAGAAATGAAGTAATAATGGTAGATCAGGGTTCCCTATACCCACACTGGGGAAGTTTCATTGAGCTGTGATCCTGAGATTACCTTTTCAGACATCATAAAAATCTGCCTTTTGGAGCAACTGTTTAGAAGATGCAGGAAAGAGACCCAATTTTGATTGCCACTCCATGAACAACAGACAATTCATGTGTAAATTCAATGTCTTTGGAGAAGAGAAGCTGAAAGTCCGTCACATAGTTTTAAAAAGGGAAACTACATAAAATGAGGAACTTAAAGAAAATTAACTGGGCAGCTAAAAAGGTAAAATGTTTGCAGGTGGCATAGAAAAAAATACCATAATTAGAGACTCAGAGTATATTTATACTGTTACAGAAGACTTTAAAATAAACAGAAAAGCTTTGAACAGTTGCAGTAAGGAAAAGGATGGCATTAGAGATGTCTAAAAGAAGAAAACAGAAAAAAAAAAGGAAATTCTGGCAAATTAAATAGAAACCACAAATGTTGACCTAGTAACCACGGAGTAGAACTCATTGCTTAAATCACCACTGATGCTAAAAAGTAAACTGAAATCCACTCTAGTTTATGTTAGTGTGCTGGACTGCA